TCCTGCAGCCACATCCGTGCCTTGTACTAGGTTACGACTTGAACTTCGAGGACAAAGAACCAACGGACCGCGTCTGAATAGACATCCTTAGCCAATTGTATTCTTCGGTGATGTAGCCCACTTTATTTCGTTAAGTCGCTCAAAGTAAGAGCTCTGATTGTTGTCTGAATTGAGCGACTTGTAAGCGACGGCTTCAATATCGGCAACAGCTGGCAGAAAGAATTATGGTGATTATTGGTGGTCAGCTGGGTTTACAAATCGAACACGTTTACAAATCGGAATGCTTTACAAATTCAATCAGTTTACAAATCAAATCTGGCTGGAGCAAGGCGGCGCTCCTCCTGCGATAAACCGACACTCGGCGGTGCTCCACCTCAACCTTTGATCGTGATTCTTATCTCATGACGACGGATCACCTGGATTTGCAGTCTCACTGAGCTCACCACATCACTCTACCCTACGTGATCAGACTGACTGCATGTCTTCCCTTTGAGCTTCGTCATGTCGTCGGCATCCAGCAGCCCTTACAGTACTAAACGCGGTGCAAAGTACTAAGCCTACAAAGCCTACAAGAATACGTAACGAAACGGACTGTTATTATAGATATACCATAATTAAGGTGATAAAACTTCAGGCTTTTTCAACGCCGCTCGACGTGGTAGAAGTGGGCATCAAGCCATGCTAGCCGCAGCAATGAGGCTTTATATCTCGCAGGTACATGCCGAAATGGGTGTTGAGTTAGGATCAAGGTGATTGATGTTGTGTTTGAAAACATATACTATTGATTCTGCGCCTCTGTATATGTTTTTAACTCTATAATTCTGACAGGGGTCGTCCATACAACACATCGTGTAGGTCTAGTAGATGCTCCAGTCACCATTCATCTTCAGGTCAGGGGTGTGAATTCCCCGCTTCTCTTTCTCAATCTCCTCTTGCATGGTCCAGTTGGGTTCCCATTTGAACCCCTTGGGAAGGTTTGTATGCTCAAAGGGAGTGCCATTCTCGAGATGACTGCGGCCTTCGGCAAACTTTTCGGTGGCGTACTTCGCAGGGTCGTGAGTCCATATCCATTTGCCAAGTCCCATCGGGCCCCCTTTTGCGGCAGACTTCATGACCTCTTCAAATCCACCCTTCCGGTGCATCTCTCGTCGATTGGCGAATCCAAGACGCTGGAGGGTAGAGGCGCGTCGAATGCTATTGGTTTCAGGCACAGTCAGTTTGGCTCGAGGGATCAGAGGCCATATGCATATAGATTTAGACGTACCGCAATAGTTCGTGAACCTTAGTTCCAATGTTGGCGTCCCTCTTTCCGGCAAGCCGCAAGCATTCAGCCAGAGATTGAGCATCCTCCAGCGCTGTAGATGCGCCAGATATCGAAGATGGAATAAAGGCGTGCGCGCTATCACCAAGCTGAAGAATCCGACCCTCGGGCGATGTCCACTTAGGTTGAGGATCGCGCCAGCAGAGCTGCCATTTGACGATGCTGTTCTCGGGGATGTTTCGAATGCCTTCCAAAATCAAAGGGTCCCATCCTTCGGTGACTGGCAGTTTACTAACAAACTCATCGCCAGTGATGGTCTCGGCCCATGACTCCGATGCAGTCCCATCGTCCTAGAACGATAGTGGTTAGTCGTTTCCATCTGTCAGGAGAGCAAAACTAGTTGCGAGTGTGGTCCAGGAAAAGCGGCATACCGGCATCGTGATTGCGATGACAATAGAGTCATTAGCAGTGATGAAGATGCAATGGAAGTCGCCACTATAAAACCAAAGTCAACATACTGATGAGTTCATCAAGTGTCGGTAAGAACTCACCCGGAATGAGTGCGAAGATCAGGCCTCGTCGTCTTGATCAGTTTCTCATAGAGGTTCTTGTTTTTCACCGGGTCAAGGCGGTAGAAGATGCGGCAAATGACGAATCCTGTGGGAACGGCTCTGATTGCTTCTCCCATGACCACTTTGTGCGACTTGGTGCCTAGACCATCGGCAGCAACCACAATGTCAGCCGTGAGTCGCTGGCCATCAGCTGTGACAGCAGTGCCTGTTCCTTCGGCAGCATTCTCAATGTAGTCAACGACATTCACGCCAAACTTGACCGGGATGCCTAGACGCTTGCATTGGTCGTAGAACATGATTGACATGCCCGGTCGGCTAACCATAGTCCTGATTCTCAGGGGCCAAGCAACGTGGGGCTGGACATCGTCTCTGTTGTACTCAAACTCTTGAGGTTGACAGACTTCTTGACCATCAAGTCTTCGGTATGAACAGAACGCATCCCACGATTGGCGGTGATACTCCTCGAGCATGCTCGGGTAGTCCTTGAAAGTTGCGAGAGCAGATGGTCCAATGAAAATCACGTCGCCTGTGTCCGAGTGTCAATTAGTCCATTTATTTCTGATTATTCGTTATTTCTACTTCATGTATCAAAAACATGGCTCACCAATTGTAGAGTTTTTGTTGTTCTTCTCCACAACTTCGACATCGTGTCCTTTTTTCCAGCACTCGAGAGCGGTCAGTAGGCCGGCAGGCCCACCACCAACGATGAGAACCTTGAGTCCTGTAGATGGCCATCGGAGCACGCCATCTAAGAGAGTGCTTTCGTGCGTTGGTTTGGGGACACCGCCGTGTGCAGAATCGCCGTTGGTTTGTTGGGCTATGAGGGTCATGGCTGGCGCTTTTCCCACGATTGGCCTGTTGGAATTAAGGGTTTGATGAAGCTATCGTTGAATCAAAAGAATTGTGTTGGTATGATCAAGACCTCTAAGACCAAGGTCTTCAGCTTATATATTTCTCCAAGCCAGCGATTACTCGATCTTAGTCTTGACTAGAATATCCCGGCGGTTCAGTGATGGCTTACACGGTCAGAAGACGGAGCGCGTCGAGTGGGGCTTGATATTGGCGGCATTACGATTCTGGCCTGCACGGCCGACGGCTCGGGACGTTAGTCGCTCCCGATTCTCGGTAAATGCTGTATCTGTATGGAATAGGCCGCCCAGGGTTTCCCGAAGCCGTTGTGGAGCGCGTCGGGAGCAGACCATCAGCAACCAAATCCTTTCTCTGTAGGATAGTCTGGTCCAAACGATCAATGATGATTGGGCGAGCTGAATCGCATAAGCCATTGCAGCAAGTCTCGAATCCGGGGTTGCCAGTCTTGCAACTGTCAACCCGACGGTTTAGCTGAACTCAAAAAGCGGGACTTTGAGATGATGGGTCGGGGTAGCCCCGCTGGTCTACAACTTCGGACGGGTCCTGCTGAAAGCTTGTCTTCAAACTGACACATTCGTGTGATTATCCTAGCTGATTATTGCCAACGAGCTGCTTCGAAATACTCCATGCCCCCCAGTTGCTCGTGCTGTTCCCTCTCTGTCATGCTCAAAATCCGTCTCGGGCTTCATTGCATGGTGCACACCTAACGAATTAACTTGCTTGCGCTATCCAGTCGCCTTTCAAGCCTGATCGTCCGAATTCTGGGTGAACGAGTATGGGTGTACGAGTATGCATGAACTATAGAAGGGACCCCCTCCCGAACCTCCTGCAACGACACCTAATCTCAGCCTCATAAGCCACATCCAAATAAGCCGCGACGTATCATCCGTATGTGTCAAAGTTTTGGAAAGTACCATGAAGCAAACAGGCTGCTGCAGCTGGTAATTGTCGGAAATGTCCCTGTGATGTGATTCAACGACATGGCTTCCATGCACGAGCCACCATGCCAGGCATCAGACATCACAACCAACTGCATGATGTTATCGTACGAGCTCCATTCTCTCTGGGAGACTCGCTGTGTTACGTGCGTTGCTTCCTTTTTCGCGAACGTTTCCTCGCCGAAAAGAGTATCTTCGCCGTGGTCCCGCATAATTGAATCCGGCCAAGCAGAGGGGCAGTGAGAAGCGTACAATTCCCTGTACTTTACGGAGTAGATGGCATTAAATCACTTACACTAGCTAGGAAATGCATGCCTTCAAGTGGCCTCCAACCCCCTGGCCTAAAGATCCCAAATACAAGGAATTGGGAATCTGGAATAACGAACATTTCTGCAACGGCTTCGAGGCTTTTACCATGGCCCCTCTCACTAAGGTAGGGCACATCATTGGACCTAGGAGGAGGTTCACCTGTTTCTCATTGACGTGCGAAAACATTTGAGAGATCGGCATATTCATGCCTACTTGCCAATGTAAGTCGTTCTTGTCTCTCAGGCGTTGCTGCTATCGCGCCTCGAAGCTAACAACGTGGCCTAGCTACTCTGCGTTTGGAGGAGGGCCTGAGGAAGACAAAGTGGAACCAATCTGAGGTTACCAGTCCTAATGACGCCTTTGATTATGGTGATAGTACTAAAGGGGATTTGAGTTTGTCTCAATCTTGGAAACAGTAACCCTAAGAAGATGCACCCGTTCGGATACTTCGCTTTTTGAAGGCGACCCTGCCAGATTGAAATTGGCCGTGCTTGTCATCTTGAGAACCTTTAAATCCCGACGACTATGTGAGACCACCCAGCTGTTGCAGCTTACGGTACGTTGAAACTTAACCCACATACTACCTTACCATGAACGTCAAATCACAGTGCTATCTTTCAGTCTGCTCTCGTCGTGAAGAGTTATCTTCGTAATTATGAAAAGTGATGGAATTACCGACGCACTCACAAACAATTGTGCACTGCATAATTATAAATATACACTATACCCTGCATCATGGCACCATACAAGCTCCACGTCGTACTCTACCTAACCAATTCGTCCAGATTCGTGCGTTGGTTCCATGTTTACGAACCTTGCATACGCCGTGAATAGTATCTTCGCCGCCAACATGCATACTTGTCTCCAGCCAAGGAGAGGGGTAAATAGAAATTAATCAAGCCTCTTGTGCACACGTGCTAATCGTATCACTGTTGTGACCTCCTCATCCTTAAATCGAAAAAAAATTCTCAAGGAAACATTGCCATTTCGTTCAGGGTGAAAGACCTGATCTCAACCTTCGACGCCTTTGTTCTTGTTCCGTTTCCGACTATGTACAGCAACACCATAAGCGCAGCCCCTGCGGCCGCGAACCTGGCCACCGTCGAAGGCTCGGGACACATCGTTCCCCAAGATGTACAGTGAAAGACACAGGACCTCATTTCTTCTCAATCGTTGACACGAATTAGGCCCCCGATGACAACGCGTCTGAGCTTAGGGAGGTGAGTTCGAGTCTTGGTGACTGTATCCTAGACGACATGGTCAAGCTAATGATCAATAACAGAGCATCGCTTCATCAAGCACGAGTATCGCCTCCTCCATTCTTGATTATCGAATCGAAAATGGTCGAACGTACCACAAGTACAAAGACGGCCGTGAGTATTGACCCAATGGAACATCGGCAATAAGAGCAAACCTGACGTCGATGACGCAGAATATCATATTCCCAATGACGCATCGGAATCTGACAGACTGGGTGAGTCCCTCTGTTCAACTGGTCTCAACTAAGCTGATAAGCAAGCCAGATTTGCAACACAACCTTTTCCTGCTGACCTTGGATAACAAGCTGGGTCTCGCACCTCCGAACGCCCCCGACTCAAAGGTGAAGAGGGTCCTTGATGTCGGCACTGGCACTGGAATCTGGGCAGTTGACTTTGGGGAGGAACACCCTGAAGCTGAAGTAAGTACTGATAGATGCTTTTCATGGTGTAAAGCTAATGGCAGAGACAGGTCCTCGGCATTGATCTCTCTCCGTCTATGCCACAGTTGTAAGTACCTGGTATAAAAGTCAAGTTCAACTAGCAGCCATACTTGGGACTGCATTAGCACCTGGTTTCAAGACACTGACACCTTCAAGCATCCCTCCTAATGTCAAGTTCGAGATTGATGACCTAGAAGAGCCTTGGGTCTACTCGAAGCCGTTCGATTATATCCACACAAGGGCGATGAACTCCTCAATCACTGATTGGAAAGTCTACATCAAAAAGTGCTTTGAGTAAGAAGCCCTCGTCGAATACCCAAACTAAAGTGAAATATGCCTGTTGACTCATGCTTTTGCAGCAACCTCAAATCGGGAGGTTTTCTAGAGCTGCAGGAGTACGACGTGTTCGTCAAGTCCGACGATGGTACCTTGAAGCCGGAACATGCTGTCTCCAGATGTGTCGACCTGATTTATGATGCATCCATCAAGTTTGGAAGGCCCTACCAGCACATCGAACCGCTTGCAGAGATGATGAGAGAGGTCGGATTCGTTGATGTTACAATCCAGAGCGACAAATGGCCCTCGAACGCATGGGCTAGGGACCCTAAGTATAAGGAATTGGGCATATGGAATCACGAGAATATGTCTTCTGGTGTTGAGGGCTTCACCATGGCCGCTTTTACTCGCATACACAACTGGACGAAGGAAGAAGTGCAGGCCTTCCTGGTTGATGTCCGGAAGGACCTGAAAGACAGGTCTATTCATGGGTACTGGACAGTGTTAGTAATAAGTTGGTCCTGAGATTGGTATTAGCTGACATCTCATGACAGTTACAATATTTACGGAAGAAAGCCAGAGGCATAAAGAAAGGTAGACAACATTGAGGGAGCAGATGCTCTGCCGAATGAGAGTGATGTCATTTCAACAAGGGATATCTTGCGTACATGTACCTTAGCTGAGTAAGTATGGAAGTGCTTGCTAATGAAAAGAATAGTGAAACGAATTTATTCCATTTCGTATCCTGTACAGTCGAAGATTTCGATCATTGTCCCCTACTCGGGTCGTTCTCATTCGTCATTGAGTGATGCTGCATTTTTACCTGACCACAACGCTCTGGTTTTCCAGGTGTTCACACATGGACGAGCCGTGGGCGGGAGAGAAGCTTGTCCTACGTTGTGGTATCAAGGTGCTTCCTTGGCAGAGAGAGACGGGTCCTGAGGACATCCAGAAGCCGCCTTAGTTTGGCAAAAACGGTAATCGTGAAGCTTAATTGTCTCCTTCCGGAGAAAGGCCAGGAATTGTAGAATAAATCGCTTTCACGCTCCCACCCAAAGACGAGCTTTTACCTGGCTGGATGCAATCTCCTAGAGGATGCACCCACAATTCTGTTTTAACCTGCTTGAGAAAAACAACACCACGCTTTCTCGACATACACACCAAGTCGTGTCATCAGGCCTGAGCGCAACTGAAGTACACATCAGAACAGAATCATCACTTACACCAGCCATCAAAATGTACATTCCGGAGGCACGTGTTGAATACTTCTTCGCCATCCACGACTTCAGCATCTCCGACTCCATACTCCAGGCCATGGAAGGCATGCACGGCGACCCTTGGGACATGTCCCTCCCTCAAGCGCTCTTCTTGATATTTCTCAGCTTCGTCTTCTTCGGAAGCATAGCGCTCGGAACCAACATTCTCGTGGCCTACCTTGATGCCCGGTACAATCCACCGCAATACTACTACGGAGACAACCTACGAACGGTGCCCAACCTGCGCAGCTTTAGGGATCAATCGGAGCCGCTCCCTCGATATGAGCGCGAGGACTCTACTGGGAGACCACTTCTTGCTTTCGAAGGGAACACCCCGCCTCCCGCCTACGGTACCGTCATCAATATTTCCGCGCCATATGAGGACAATGAAGGCGACGAGGACTATTCGGCAGAATCTTCGCCGGTTGCACCAGACAGCAGCTATATTTCTTACATGGTGTAAGGCATACTACATCTCCTTGCTACTTACTACATGGGCCGACCAAGCGATGCAGCTAGAGCGTATTCGCTAGCAACACACGCCGCCCAGCTGCCAACCATCTGTCTTAGATTGGTTCGAATGTTGAACATCGCTTTCCTACTTTGAGTCGAGACATACTTGGGAGCTCCTAGGTCAAGGACGACAAAACGGAATACGGGGATAGGTATAGGGAGAAAGGCATGCTGGGATGATATTATAAGAAACGGCAGAAAGGTTACAACGACCAGAAGAGATCCGGCCTCGAGGTCTTGAGGATTTCGTAATTCGGCGTTCGGGCGTCTTGGCTTCCTGGTATCGGGGCGTCTTATCCTCTAGCATTCGTTTGATACGGGAAGGGGCTTTTGGGTCGTGGGCAAGCATGCCGAAGTGAGATTCCGGCTCCAGATAGCTCGCATGGCGACAACAATACATAAGTTAGCCCGCATCCACTTCATACTGCCTGACCACCCATTGCCGCCCATCGTGTCACCCACTAATGTTTTTTCGCGAATGTTGCCGTGTCATGTCAGCCAAGTACAATCTCGACATGAGTGCCTTAACTTCGTATTAGCTTCAGTCTTTCTAGACCACAAGAGGGGTTGTCTGGCCACAACCAAGTCAAAGCGACGAAGCCGTCGCTCGCAAACATCCAGGAATGACCATCAGCCAAAAACAAATCAACCTTGACACGACGTATCAAGAATTGGCAAAACGGAAGGGCTCAATCGGGATTCGAACCCGAGACCTCGCCCAATTTCACGCTGTGCGCAAGGATTGGTAAACCCGAAGGGCGAATCATACCACTAGACCATTGAGCCAGGGGACCCCTGCGGGATCCAATGAGTGGTTTTGGCTGGCGACTTGGCCCCAGATCACGTATTATATATTGTTAAAGTCTTGCAATGCGACAAGTTGATCGTCCATGTCCAAAGATGCCAGCGCAAATCAGTGTAAACCCTGAACATATAGACAACCAGTATAGTGAGTCATAAATCAACTGCCAATGGAACGCAATACTACAACAAAAAAGCTACTTTACACGTCGGCACTGGGATTCATATCTCACGGGGTATCTTCACTGCAGACCAGCCAACCTTCTGAAGCCAACATTCTCCACGACCCTCAATCCGCCGTTAAGCGTAATAATCCCCTTCCCGCCCACAGTAAGTCCGTCATCCATCTTGCCCATCGCCATTTCGCTCATGAATTTGCCCAAAACTTCTGTCGGGCTGACAAAAGACGGCATAGTTGTTCGAATCACGGGGCCGAGGAACATATTCATGGCGTTGTACAGCGCGCCGGCGTTGGGCGCATAGGTCTCGACGGCCTTGTGGCCGGCCTTGTCTACGAAGGCAGGGCGGACAGATTCGGCGCGCAGACGCGGGTTCGCGGCGCGCATCTCGGAGAGGAGGGTCTCGGTCTCGCCCTTGACTCGGGCGAAGATGGCGCTGAAGCGGCCCGGCGTCTGCGTCGCGCCCTCGCCTGAGACGTAGATGAAGCGGAAGGGTTCGTTGTTCGGCGGTAGGTTGGCGAAAGCCTTTGCTGCTTCCAAAGTGTAGTCCTTTGTGATTTTGACATAATCCCTGGGGTCGTGTAAGCACTTCTCGTAGGGGTGGTTGGAGGGGTTGTGCTTACTCTTTGCTGACCTTGTTCTGGCTGATGCCCAGTGCCCACACAGCGCCGTTTGCGCCCTTGAGCTTGTCGAGTACGTCTGCGTCGTACTTTTCAAAGTCCTTGTGGATGATGACATTGATTCGAGGATCTTTTGAGGCTTCGGCCATGGGGATTGGGCTTCTGCTGAGGATTGAGATCTTTGTGATGTCCTTCATCTTGATCATGGCATCGAGAACGCCTGAGCCTACAAGGCCAGTGGCTCCAGTGAGGATGAGATGCATCGTGTTAATAGTGTCGGTTGAGTCGTGCTTTAGAGATGACAACAACGTCACTGTGGAAATTTTCACTTCTGCTAGAGTGCCCTGGATATCAAAAGTGAATAAGATGAGAGAGCAATAATCTACATCTCAGTCAGGTCAGCAGCGATCCGGCCGTCTTTTCAATCTCAGCCGTCTAAGACGGAGCGGGCGGTGCGGCCGCGTCGTGCGGACATTGAATCCACCCTGGCGCCTTAGCAGACGAATTACAGAGTCATCTGCCGGCGGAAGGCGTCCCGGAGTTAGCGCTATCGCCATCTCACGGCGCCTGAAATACGTGCGCGGCTGCTTCTGGAACCTGCACCAAGGCAGTAAGACCTCAAAAGGATCAAGTCCGAAGCTTAGACGTCCATGAAGGGACTTCTGTTCGTCTGACGGGATATTGTTGCCCCGCATAGTTGCTAATTCCATCCAGTCATAGTCACAAATCCCTTGACCGGTGTGAGGCATTCATCCAATTCTGACCTACGCTGGCCAGCTACGTCTCAAAACTCACGTCTAATTTCGCCTTGGTACCTAGCTCTAAGAGGAGGGCCATCAGCAAGCAGCCACTGCGCCGCTAAAGCCCCAGGTTGCTACATGCTGTCGCAATCGCACTGAACTGCAGCTAAAGTAAGTAAGCACGTAAGGTACTTCAGAGCATTAGAGTAGAATGCAGCAAGATTCAGCTGTTATTCCCGCCAAACGCCGAAATTACAGAATCTCCGCAGCGGAAAATATCACTCACAGCCATGCTGAGACGGTTGTTCATCCATCTTTTGCAGTGGACTTCGGTGTTCTTCCGTCCGGTTGGGCTTTTCTCTTTTTACTCTTGAATCCTACACGTTGAGTTGTTCAAAGTCGAACACTTGTCATCAGAACTTGGCAAGTGTTCATAGTCTAGCATCTTCTCGCCTAATAGCACATGATGAAACCCTCTATTAATTCTTCTTTCGTGTATTCGCTTCTCTTATAGCTCTTCAATTCTACCCCGTTGCGCCCTCGGAGCGCACTTGCCATCTCCCTTTTTGCCGATTCTTCTCTGCCTTAGCTTCATCGGCAATAAGTCCCCAAGCACTAACTACCTTTCATAAGGTTGCCAACGAAGAGGAGTAGTTTCTCGTAAAGAGATTTCGTCTCTGGCTTGGTCTAGTCTGATCAAGCACGCGGTCTAGGACTGAGCTGAGAGAATTGATCTCCGCCACTCATTTTGTCGCAGGAAGACGCAATGTTACAGAGTTGTGGACTGACTTTCGAACGAATACCATGACAGATGATTGTATGCTAGTTCCAAAGGCAGTATCTCCAATAGATTGAGTGCTGCATCATGAGAACATCTCAGGCATAGCGTTGAAGTTCATAATGGAACTGAACCCGAACCCATTATTGTCCTGGAATCAAGTTAGAAGGCGGAATCAAACCAGTTTGGGGCTTGGAGGAAGAATGTTTACCAAAGATGTGCCCCAATCCCAATCCCCGAGCATGTCGACGCCGGCATCAAAGTCCATATCCAAATCGTGGACATCGGGCATGCTGACCCCTTCCTCAGTTACATCGCCTCCAGCCAACTCCTTGAGCAAATCATGGCACTCCTTAACACGCTCCCTACACGCCTCTTCGAAGAAGTTCTCAATCTTTTCATCACTGACACCCTGCTCCAAGCCATGAATATGAGCAATGAGAAGTACACTCAGCGCGTGGCCCTTGATGTTCGTCTCTCCCGACCGAATCCGATTTCGCGACCAGTCGTACACAGCGTCAAGAATACCGCGCAGCTGATCTTCAGAGCCGCTGTAGAATATGGAGTGCCCATTCCTCACTTCCTCCTCCTTGATGTTGATGAGCTCCAACCCCAGTGTCATGACGCCTTGGAAGGGAACAGATCGGTAAAACCCGGCACCATTAATAGTCAATCGATGGAAATCCACCTCCGACGGGGTCGCAGGCTTCATCGTGGCGCCAGTGCCAGACTTGTCAGGTGCCAGAAAGGCAACCTCACACAGTCGCAACGCTGTGTCGACGACCATCTTACGAGAGAAGTAGTAAACGGGGTTCCGCAGCGCCAGCGGGGCAATCGGGTGGTGCAGGGCAAAGAAGAGCCGGTACGTCAGGGTCTGAACGTACCGCAGCTGAAAGGAGGTGACAGACGGGTACGCCTTAAGCTGCTGCATCATCTTTTGGAGCGATCTGCTCAGTTCGTTGCTATGTCGGAGGGTCTCTTCGTAGACTGTATCTGAGCGGAACTCGTTGACGCGCTTTGCCACAGCGAGGCGAGCTGCGAATGTTCCGAATAATGCTAGGGGAACCGTCATCTGTGTATGTGTACCCGGATCCCTGGGCACAGGGAAGGCGGACTCGCCATCTTCGACGAGTTGCTCGTCATCTAGGTTTGCCGGTAATTCAGTGTCGAAGTCGTCTAATGAAATAAGAGGCGGGCCTCCAGAGTCGACGCTCGTCTGCAGCGTCATCTCTAAGATCGTGACCCAAAGCCTCCGACGAATTTCAGCGCGGTATGGAGACATTTTGATGATTGATTTGGGATCGCGATGCAGTCCCATGTACATAGCCGTTCGGAGAAGAGCACCAGCGCCGATCCAGGTGAGATCACAGCCGATATTGGCCGTGTGACGAAGATGGTGCATCAAGCATCGGATCTGCAGCCCTGGGATAGTCATCTTGGATTTTTCGCAGGGGGCAATGAGCCAGAACATGGCTTCCCAGAACCACTGAATGGCCAGATTTCTGAGGGTAAAGCGTTCGTCATGCATTGTGGCGCCGATGCCCATGCACAGCTGTATGGTGATGATGAAGGAGTCGCTCGCGTCGGAGGGGTTCAGCCAGTACTTTTCGTAGTCTGCTTTGAAGGTCGGGACGTGGACGATGCGGTGGATGCACTCAAAGGTGCGCAGGTAGTTTCCGATGAGAACATCTGCTAAGTCTCGCGAGGGCATGCTCTTGCCAGTTGAGATTGTGCTGAATGAGGGTGTCCGGCGGGCTTTGATGATGCGGCCTAGCTTTTTGCATCTTTCTAGGTCAACATAGAGTTGAGATGATCGACGGTTTTCAAACTTCCTTGCAAAGTTGACGAGACGGTACAACTGTAGTAAGTGTAAGTATCTAGCACGCTAATGCAATGTGACAAGGAGTGTGTCTAGTACCACAACTGGATGATAGTAGAACAATAAAGGACAGATGAGCCATTAGAGGCATTGAGTCGACCCCTGGGAAAGTACAGGGGAACAATGAACAAAGGCTGATATCATAAGGCTTGAAATGAAAAGATGAGTACTAACCATATCAGCTGCATTCATCCAATGACTCTGCCCAAAGTAACGAGTCTTGCTGACGCAGCCACGACTATACCTCAACCCTTCTCGGAGACCAGGCGTAGGTTGAGGTATATCTTCCTCCCTAGCACCGTACTTCACAGTGAGATCCGACAACTGCTGCTCAAGTTGCTTCACCCGATCAACCAGAGAATTCACCGTCGACGAGGAGCCGGGGCAACTTCCAGGAGTCGATGCCGTCTCCGCTCTCACGCTCACGGAAGCCGAGGGACGCGAAGGGTTTAGCGGCCGCCAGATCCCAAAGTCGGAGAGTCCGCCATGTTCACCGGGGTCAGTGGGGTTGAATAGAGGGTTTCCGTCGAGTGTTCTTGGGTCATGCGTGGTGGGAGATGCCTCTGACAGGGGCCGAGAAGTAGGGATGATCGGTTCCGGGAACCCGAGACCCGATTCGCTGGCCTTGGTCGAGCCGTGGACGGGGTCTTTGAAGTTTTCTAGCCGTGTCCGAGTGGGTAGAGTGGTATCTGCACCAACGGCGGGAGAAGAAGTCACCGGTGGCCTCGCCCGCAGGGATGAGGGCGCGGGAAGGACAAGGTCCGGCAGGCGGAGAGCCGTGTGGAGAGAACCCTCGTTAACTTCAGCCCCATGTTTGGGACTGTTTCTAGTCGTTGGCTTTGCTTGCGAGGTGTATGTGCAGACGGCGTGTTTGGATCGGATGCAGGTGCTGCAGGGGAGATTCCTATCGCAGCGGACTTTCCGACGGCGGCATTGTTCGCATGCCAGAGCAGGCCGACGCCGCTTCTTCGGCGCCGAGGACTGATCTGGGCTTCTCAAAGTGTCCATATTGGGCAATACTGTAGGTCTCTGGTTGGGGAATTGAGAATCGGGGGATCAATACGATTGCAGGACGCGGGCTGGGCGAGCGTGATGGGATGCTCGGCTTTTTGAACTGAGTCCGAATTCTACCTTTGTAGACTGGGCCCCGTTTACCGAAAGCTGTTGCCTGGACCGATAATCGACCGATCAAGGGTACTATTGGTATATATTCCAAGAGATCTTATCAGATGATCAGATAAATGGGAGTTGTGAAGGGGAGGAGGACGATGAATTCGAGGGCGAAGGGAGTAAGACGGAGCTTATCCCCGACATGTTGTCGGGATTCTTGCGCTTGGGGATCGTTTCGCCCGCCATACACCGAGGTTTCCAATGATCTGATTGGCTCAGAGCACTGGCACAGAATTCACCGAGCTGCTTTTCAATTTGCCGACTTACACGATACCCCGAGAAGGATTCAAAGAAATCACCGAAATTGACACCTGACACATCCACGCGGTTCCTGAGAACCGGCGGCTGTAGCACGGCTCATATATATTTTTCACGAGATGATTAAAGCTGTGCCCGACGGAATCAATGTGGCATGGTAACGTAGTCGATATGACTAGATTTTCCAGTTGTGCGGGTCAAGCTGTTTTTTCTTTTGTTTTGTCTTTACATCTACCATTGAATTCAGAAGTTTCGTTGTTTCAGAAAACTTGATTGAGAATGTTTGTTGAATCGACACAACTCACACTGCCTTTTATTTATGCTTGATGTTGCCGCAATGGACAAAGACCTGTTAACTTCGACTTTTCCAAAACCATCAGGATAGAATCATAGATGTCACGGCAGGGAGAAAGAATCAGCGCTTTCTTCAATGCGCTGGACGTCTTTGTTGGCGTAGAAGCATATGACCATAATGCTTCGAAGCAGGTGTAGACGACTGATGAGTATCATACCACAAATATTCAAAATGGCGACGCTCAGCTGGAACAGAGGTAACGATTCAAGGTACCCTTTTAGAAATTCATCAGGCCCCCCCAAGAAGCATACCCGGAAGAGCGGAGTATTAGCTCCATTATCAGTCCTAGTACTGTATTCATCTTCTTTTGCGAAATATCTGCGACATCTCCCAAGCAACTTTAGGATTGCATCTGAGAGTCACTCTGGCATAGGCCGTGGCTGGCGCAGTCTTGATCAAATGCTCAGACACATGGAAGAATGACGTTCAAGAGACTAGCAGCAATATGAGGAAGTGACCTTTCTCAACTTCTATCTCGCTGGTATCAGCTGGGTCATTGACTTCGAACTTATGAGGCCGATACCGGCACTAATATTGACGATTCCTTTCATTGACTGGGCTAACAAAAAAGCTCCCAAGCGATGGCAATATCGCGAAAGCAATATATTGACATGTGACTGGGCCTGAAGGTAAGGTAGGCCGTCCATCTCTGATCACAGGTCAATGGCAACTCCGGTGTCGATGCGTTCATCCGATCTTGAACCAGTTCGAGTTAGCGCGCCAAAAGCCACGTTCCTGGCTAGTTGGCTGGTTTTAACCAACACATACAGATCACAACAAAAGGCGAGAATAGCGGAGAGGGTTTCGGCTTTTCAACGGTAACTGCTTGGATTTCTAGGTAAAATGGGAATAGGAGACCAAATGTACAAGACAGAAACCTCTTCCGCACCCGAGATGCAGCATTAGTTCAGGAGATCATTGTACACGGGAAGTAGGTTGTGGTAGGGGGGGGTTCGTTCCTCGTTCGCCGCCGAGCAGATGGTGTATGCTTTCGGCCCATCTTTCACTGCCCTCCGCTTCCTCCCTTTGGCAAAAAAGCCACAGGTCATATCCATCGGCCTGGATTGTCTATAATTCTCTCACGCCGGATACGCCTCTTCGAAACTTTCACATCATGCCTCTTTTTTGCCTCCGCACGCGCAACGCAACGTCAACAACAACGACAGCAGATTTTGCTTACAAAAGGAGCTCGAGGGGGTTCTCGAGGACCTTCTTGAGCTCCTTGAGGAACTCGGCACCAACGGCACCGTCAACAACCTTGTGGTCGAAGCTGCCGGTGATGGTGATCTGGTCATCAAACTCGACGCCGGTGGTGCCGTCCTCGGACAGAGCGGGGACAGCGACCTTCTTGGTGGTGCCGATGGCGAGGATGGTGGACTGAGGGGGGTTGATGATGGCAGTGAAGCTGTCGACGGCGTCGTTCATGCCCATGTTGGAGATGGAGATGGAGCCGCCCTGGTACTGCTCAGGCTTGAGCTTGCCGTCGCGGGCGAGCTTGGCGAGCTTCTTGACCTCGGAGGAGATACCCTCGAGACCGCGGGCCTCGACACCGGTGACGATGGGAGTGATGAGGCCAGTGGGGGTGGAAACGGCGACGGAAACGTCGACAGTGTTGTGCTGGCGGATGACATCGCCGAGCCAGCTGGAGTTGGCCTGGGGAACCTTCTTGGAGGCGACACCGATGGCCTTGATGAGGAAGTCGTTGACCGACAGCTTGTACTTGCCGTCAGAGGAGGCGTTGAGGGCCTGGCGAAGCTTGAGGAGCTTGCTGACGGAGATGCTGGAGGAGACGAAGAAGTGGGGGTTGGTCTGGGTAGACTCGACGAGGCGGGAGGCAATGGTCTTGCGCATGCCGCTGATTGGGACGTCCTCGTAGGAAGCGCCGGGAGCAGCGACAACCGGGGAAGAGACAGCCTTCTTGACATCCTCCTCGGTAATCTTACCGCCCTTGCCGGATCCCTTGACGTCGCGGATGTTGATGCCCTTCTCCTTGGCGAGGCGGACAGCGGTGAAGGAGGCGTTGGGCTCACGCTCAATAGCGTTCTCGAGCTTGCCGGCGGGCTTGTTGAAGTCGTCGGAGGAGTTCTCGGGCTCGGGGGTAGGGGCAGGCTTGGACTCGGACTCCTTCTTGGGCTGCTCCTTGGGGGCGGGCTTGGACTCACCACCGGCGTCGGCGGCGGAGAAGCCCTCGAAAGCGCTGACATCGGTGCCCTCCTCGACGAGGACGGCGATGGGCTGTGAGGGGAGTGTCAGTTTGCGCGTACATCATGAGGGTGTTGATGATGTTGATGAGCATAAATGGCGAAATGCGCCCGACCGGACTCGACGAGGGGAATTTGGAACTGGGTATCGGGGTGGACGTACGTTACCGACGGGGATGTCCTTCTCACCGGACTCCTTCAGAAGCTTGGCGATAACACCCTCCTCCTGGAACTCAAAGTCCATCTGGGCCTTGTCGGTCTCGATCTCGACCAGAACATCACCAGGGGCGATGCTGTCACCAGCCTTCTTCTGCCAAGATCCGATATTTCCCGCCGTCATGGTGGGCGACAAAGCGGGCATCTTGATGATGGTGTGCGGGGGGTAGGAGGCGTAACATCTCAGGATCTGGGAAGAGAGGTTGGTGCGGAGGAGGGTGTTCTGACGAACAGTCCGTCTCAGGACTGAAGAGATCATGGTGAATAAATAGCTCTCGCGGGCGGCGCGAAAGCAGGGAGAAATTTGGCGATGGTTGGACGGCGGACCGGGCTCGGGGGGGAGGCGACGATTCAAGATGATGATCCTTTTTCAGAGGAAGAAAGGACCGTCGACGTCGAACAATTGAAGCCTACGGGGCAATTGAATGACGGGATTGCGCGAGACGAAGAGAAGGGGGGGGAAGAGGGAGAGGAAGAAAGGCGACGCGGGATTATTCTGGGACGGCGAGGTTGATGCTCGAGATTGTCGGACGGGAATCTTTCCTTGGGGCTGGAGTTTTTTGCGTTGAGCTCCGTCGCTGGATGGAGCTTGGGGCGCTAGGCCGAATCGGGAGCTAGCGCGTCCCTACAAAATACGCCGCAGGGAGGGACGGCCGTTAGGCGCACGTTGGCTCACTGAAGGGCACTGGGCGAGGCCTGGACAACAGTGGTCCAGTGGACAATACTACGTAGGTAGCGCTCTGTAAGTTTCGCCGATAATTGTGGCCGGTGCTTAACGCCAATGGGCCAGGGCCAACAGGGTCCGCGATCGCTCTGCTCGCTGGGCGGCCTTGATTAAGACCGAGACGCCTGAGGAACTTTTCGGACTTGAGATGGAGGAGTGGAAATAGCCCGGGAAAACAAGGGACCTGACGGAGTACGAAGTACATCCTTCCATGCTGCAAAAGAGGCCGTGTGTCCAATGAGAACAGACAATGTTGAGAGCGGTGCGGGCCTACGGTGATTGTGCTCCATTCATTGGGTCATTGGCCGCAGGTAAGCGCAGCCCCACGTGACACAGCTGATAACACTGCAGATAAGACTCGGATAACCGATGCGACGATAGGTAACACCTCATCTTCCGTCGACCTTCCTTCCATTCCTTGAGACAAAAAAAAAAAAAGAGAAGTCCAAAAGAACACGGATACACTTTGCTTACCTCAGCTTCCAAGCTCCACTTCTGCCTGGTCTGAGGTGTCCGTGCCACATCTCCAATTGCTGACATAAGGCAATTAAACAATCAAGAGGTGGCCGCTCCCTGGTGCACGCACGCCTTGCTCAGTCCGCCACGTAAACCAGATGGCTCCGTCTTCTTGCTGTGCTGTTGGAGTCCTCCTGGGGGAAAAAAAAAAGAACGCTCCATGCAGCAGCTACATTAAATCGACCAGGGCCACCTCGGATTACAGTGCCGCCATTCACACATTACACAGTGTTCGAACGTAGCCCAGCGTTTCCTCACCTTGCGAGCAGCTCTACTGTACACCAAGAGCTCACAGTGCAAGCCGTCAAGACCAGCACATGAACTCAGGTAGCTCCAAGTGCCAGGTCCCATTCCCCAAGCTAAGCGTGGGACAGAGCCAGGGGGTCCCTCCATTCAAAGAAATTTGGACCGTCATTGCCATCTCCATCCTACGGCCTTTTACTTGTGCTGTCCAATTCGCGAGGACTAACAGACTACGGATACAGTACAGCATAGCGGTGTTGCTTCGTATTGCATTTCTCGAGAAGCTGGGGCGACCACTCCATCACCACCAACCTCGGAACCCATC